TTTGTACTAAGGGTCCACCTGTTTCATCCCGCCCTCGCAGACTAGCCCCGGCCAAGATTAAAGCGGCTAAGGCGGAATTCGAACAAATGTTCGAACTGGGAATAATCCGCACGTCCAAAAGTCCATGGGCATCACCATTACACATGGTGCCGAAGAAATCCGGTGACTGGTGCCCCTGTGGTGACTACAGGCACTTAACCAAGTTACCGTCCCGGATAAATACCCCATTCCTCACATGCACTTCTTAATTTCAGCTCTAGTTGGTAAGTCTATCTTTAGCAAAATCGACCTACTTCGCAACTACCATCAGATACCTGTGGCGCCAGACGATATGGCTAAAACAGCAGTAATCACGCCGTTTGGCCTCAGCAACGCTGCTCAAACTTTTCCGCGTTTCATTCATGAGGTAACGCGAGGACTCGAAGGCGTTTATCCTTACATTCTCATCGCCAGCTCTTCTGAGGATGAACATCTTCATCACATCGACACATTCAACTTTACTTTGTTTGTCAACAGGCATCAGCGCGCGACTAATGACTGCTCGCTTACGACTCGGAAGAGGTAACTTTGCCACTTTTATAAGCAACTACGGTCCGACCATGTGTTATCCTGATGACATGCGTCATCAGTTTTACACCCATTGTCCTCCGTGATACGGTCTGGGTTGAGGAGCGACCGACTATTTCTGCTGAGTGATTGCAACTCGCGCGTTGGGCGTGATGCATCGGTGTGGACAGATGTCATCGGCCCGCATGGCATTGGTTCAGCGAATGCGAACGGTGTCAGGCTGCTCTCACTGTGTGCCACTCACGGCCTGACGATCAACCGAACTCGGTTTGCACCGAGTGCGAGTGACATAGCACCCACGGAGTGGTCATGCTCACCTGTTCGACTATGTCGTCGTACCTCCGCTTGATATGCGTGAAGTGCGCGTGATACACATATATATATATATATATATATATATATATATATATATATATATATATATATACCGCGTGGAGCTGTGTGGCACTGATCACAAATTGATGCAGACCAAACTGCACATATATTTTCGTAAATCTATTTATTGCACTCCCGCCGTGAATCGGTGGAAATATAACGTTCCTTCCCAAGGTACTGGGGAGAAAAGGTGGAGCTGGAGGAGGCGATGACTGCACGACTGTGTGATGTTGACTGCATAACCACAGTGGGCGATCTGTGGCACCACATTCGCGACCAGGTGACAGCTGCTGTCGAGGAGACCATCGGGCGCGCAAACAATAAGCGGTCTGATTGGTTTGATGACAACAATGCGACGATTGGCGCATTAGTGTCGGAGAGGAATGTAGCATTTGCTACACATGTGGCAGACCCCGGTGACTAGGAGAACAGTAGTCAGTTTCGCTAATTTCGACGGCGACTGACTCGAGAGCTCCGTCGCGTTGAAAATGCATGATGGACGGAGAAGGTGATGCAGATGGAGTGCTACGCCGAACGCCGCCAACATAATAAATTCTTCGACTCCTTGGAGGCGGTGTATGGATTGAGATTGGCGCCGCTGCGGACGTTGATTGATGATACTTCAGGCGCTACCTGCACACAGACTGCAGATCTGGCGAGTTCACTTTGACTGTCTCTTGAACAACCGTTCAGAGATGGACTGGCCTACTTTGAATGGCCTCAAGCAGCACGATGTGAAGGCGAATCTGGCGGACACGCCGACAGTGGATGAGACGCAGACAGCACTTGCTCAGCTGCGAAACGGCAAGTGTGCCGGTGCCGACGGGATGCCGCCTGAAGTATTGAAACACGGCGGACCCGCGTTGGTGACTACGCTGCACCACTTGGTGCAATGCGTGTGGATTGTGGAGAATATGCCTCCTGAGCTGAAGGATGTTCTTGTGCTACCGCTGTACAAGGGCAAAGGAAGCAAGCAACGTGTCAGGAATTATCGCGCCATCAACTTGCTGAGTTGTGCGGGCAAGGTGATTGCCCGAATCCTGCTCAACTGCCTCGTCAGTCAGGTTGTGGAACCTATGGCGGAAGAGCAATGTAGATTCCGTTCGAGTCGCAGCACTATAGATACGGTGTTTGCGCCTCGTCAGTTGCAGGAGAAGTGTAGAGAACGACACCAGGCGTTGTACTCGCTTTTTGTTGATTTCACCAATGCATCTGATACGGGGAACCGCAAGGCATTGTGGCTGGTGTTGGGTAAGTTTGGTTGTCCGAATAAGTTTTAAACTTAATTGAATGTCTGCACATTGGTATGCGGACGAGAAAGCAGCTAAGTGGACAGACCTCGGATGACTTTGTAGTTGTCTCTGGTATGAAGCTCCTGCCCTGTTTAAATATTTTTTCATGCAATGAGGTGTGCTTTCAATGCGGCTTGTGGTTGCGGTGTTCGTGTGGAGCGCCGTATCGATGGTGGGTTACTGAACACCCGTCGTTTCATTTCGAGTACCCGAGTCTGTGAGACAACTATCCGTATGTTGCTGACGACTGTGCGTTGTTTGCACACGGCGCGAATGAGTTGCAGCACATGACTAGTGCTCTGGCTCCGACAGCGGCCGAATTCGGGCTCAATATCAACACGATTAAGACGGTCTGTTCTTTCAGCCTTCACCGGAGGTGCAATCTAGAATGGTGCCGTGAATAAGCATGGGTGATGAGGTACTGGAAGCCACCCCTAGTTTCTGCTAACTTGGGAGTGTGGTTCCAACTCACTAGTAGCTACTCAATGAGCTCCATATCCGCGTCTCTTAGGCAGCGGTGGCATTCTGCAAGCCGGAGTACCTAGTGTGGAACAACCATCAACTTACCGTTGGCACGAAGCTGATGGTGTACAAATCCATGGTGCTGTCCGTTCTTCTATACGGCAGTGAATCGTGGACGATGTACCGGTGTGATGTGCGATATCTCGAACGGTTCCATCAGCATTGTCTGTGATGGATATTGCGCATTGGTTGGTGCGAGAGTTGCGGACACGGAAGTGTTGCGCTGAAGTGGAAGTGCCTGAGTCATGGAAGGTCTAGTGAACCATGAGCAAGGCCACTCGGAGCCAACACCGAAACGACGATGAGTCCTGTTGATAGCGTAGGCAGGACCGGCGCAGCATTTGTAGGTACATTACATTCGATTTACTAACCACGAGCTTGCATGCTGCGTCTCTTTATTTCAGGGGGTGGATTTGCTATATTGTCCTAATGCGTTTTTATCTCATATTAATATCTATAAACTTACGTTCATTAAACTACTTTAGTTAATTTCGATAACATTTTCGAGCTTGTGGCAATTTCTTGAAATATATTTCTGACGTCTTTAACTTATCGCGGATTTGTTGGTAACCAATTTATTTTATATGCTTATTTAGTGAAGAGTTATGTCACCGTATCTGTATGCATTATACGATTGCCTTGATATCGCCGCTTCAAATGATTGGTTGTTGCTTGATAACCCTGGTGTGGCTGCGCTTGATGTGCATATTGACAAGGTGCCTACCTGTCTATTACCCACTACCTCGTCCATACTGCCTCCAGGAGACTGTTGGTCGTTGCTGGAGGGGACGGGGTGCACGGTTCTTGTGGTTGTGCTAGGCTCGAAGAGTGAGTGTGAAGCGGACTAAGGTCCAGCCATTACCTTGTGTGTGATTGATTCACAAATACATCGTGCTTGTGAAGGAGTATGGGCCACCTCCGTTGATGAAACCTGGCTCCCATCCACATGCCTTCCGGCTTTATTCTCTTGGGTTTACACTGGATATAGGGTATGTGGATGGTTCAAGGCAAGCCAGCCATGGTCCCTGTGTAGGCGCAGGCGTCCTGTGGCTCTCCTATAGAGGCCACAGTGACAGGCAAATCGGGAAATGGATGCCGCCAAGCGATACATATATGGTTGGCTGCATCCGATTTCGGATTTGCCTGTCACTGTGGCCAGCCACAGGACGCCTGCGCCTACAGAGGGACCATGAGTGGCTTGCGTTGCATCATCCACAGCTCCATCCACACACTCCATATCCAGTGTAAACCCGAAGGAATAAGACCGGGAGGCATGTGGATGGGAGCCACGTTTCATCAACGGAGCCAGCCTACACTCCTTCACAGGCGAACACAAACACGCTGTATTTGGGGAATCAAGCGCACACAAGGCGGTGGCTGGACCGTAGTCCGCTTCACACTGAGTGCATGGAATTGCTCTTTGAGCCTAGCACGGCGACAAGGACCGTGCACCCCGTCCCCTCCAGCAACGACCAACTGCCTCCTAGAGCCAGTATGAACGAGGTAGTGGGTAATAGACAGGTAGGTACTTTGTCAACATGCACATCAAGCGTAGCCACACCGGGGATATCATCCAACAACCATTCACTTGAAACGACAAGCTAAAATAAAATAAATCTAATAATGCATACAAATACGGTGGCATAACTCTTCGCTAAATTACCATATGAATTATGTTGGTTAGCAACGAATCCGCGATAAGTAAGAACTGTCCACAAGTTACTTAAAAATGCTACAAACGCAACAAAGTTAACGAAGATAAGCGCAATTTGCGTAAGCAACGTGGCCAGTTAATAGAAGATTATTCAAGTAGGCAGAACAAACCAAATAAAGTGGAATGAAATTCATCCAGCTTAAAAAGACCTAGTTTAAGTGTAAGCTGGTTTAGCCCAACTGCGGTGAAGAAGCAATATATATATATATATATATATATATATATATATATATATATATATATATATATATTCACGTGCCCGATCTGTTGGGTCATGCAAACAGATGGTCGGCGAGCTAGCGTTTATCAGACGTGTGGTGTACGTCTCAGCCTAGCAATGGGTTTCGTGTTTCATTGGTGCGTGTGCTTTACTATGTTACGGAAATTAGGCCGTGGTGGAAACCATTGCCATAAATGACAAGAAAGTCTCCGCTGCATTGCACAGTTAGACAGCAAGTGTTATACAAAATTGTCTTTAGCATTTTTATATTCGTACTAGTCAAACAGACCGTCCAAGATTGCAAATCAGCTGGACTTGGTAAATTATATATTGCCGTTGACAATGATAACATCGGCGCGTGAATCAAAATGCATTGAACAGGAGTAAAACGATGATAGGAATGATGAAATTTTGGAATCCAAAAATAGCAATGAATTGGACAAAACCGAAACCAGATAATTGTCAAGAGAAGAGGATGAAATCATCAGCGACAAGGTAAACGACGTGGAGAAAACATGCAGAAGCATTGCACCACAGTATTGCTGATAGGTGAAAAAAATGATCCGCTTGGAGAACACCATCGGTAAAAGCAGTGACAGACATGGTTGAGACAGTGGAAATCTGGGGGAGTGTAGGTCGGCTCGGCTTACATCGACGTCGCTGCACAGTGAATCCATGGGTATTGGCCTGGTATAATCCGTGGAGTATAACAAGATGTACACGGCGCGCATACCACCCATTCAGTTAAGTAGGGTGCAACGAAAGAGTTGTCGGATGCACAATCCGTAAGAAAAAAGCGAAAGAAATCTATGTACAGAGGACTAGCAATACAAGCACTAATCTGTATTGGGTCCCTCAATGTCAATTTTCTCAGAGGTAGCTGGCAATCCTGTTTCCGGGTCCCCAGATTCGGTTAGTGGGAGTCGGATCTCTGATGTAGGATGATGGGCTAAGTGGCCCACCTTTCGCTTTCTGCGCTTCCATTTTTTCGCAGGCACCTGTTCCTCTGAAGCGGAATTTTCCGGATGGTCAGAAGAGGGGGATACTATAGAGAGTCCCGTGGAGTCCGTGTGTGCTCCCGTGTCTGAAGGTCCGGCTGAAGACCCACCCTCGACTTCCTCACCAATGTCCGGAGCTGGCTCCTCTTCTTCCTCGTACTCCTCTTCCTCTTCAGCAACAGGTTCTAGCCCAGGTTCTTCTTGAACAGTCATAACCTAAAACAGGACCATAAATCAATAGAGATGACAAAAACGGAGATGAACAAACTATAAGTATGAAGAACCAGTTGTTACAACCGACAAGATGTAGGTAATTAGTTAAAAAAACCCATTTAGAAGCAACAAAGAGGAAATGGTAGAAGCATTCGTAGAACATCCGCCAGTGATCCATATCGTGTCGAATACAGCGGTTATCACGGTAAACAATGGGTTACCACCGTAATGTATTAGCTATGGAGAAAGGTCGATAGATCTAAAAACCTCGTTCTCCGTTTAGTACGAAAAGTTCGCGTAGGAATTTTTCCATTAAAAGAGGTAGATCAGCTTGGACATAGATAGGCAAAGGTAGCACAGTAAATCGGATGAAATGCTACGGTATTCCGTTCTCCTAAGCTAACGTTACACTGAATAAGGTTATCTGACTAACAATGCGGATGGGTCGAAACTGTGCGATTCGCGGCACCAGCATGGCAATGCTCTACGGGCGTGGGTAAATAATGCAAAGCGCAAGTAAGATGCGTTAAGAAAAAATGAGTAAAATTAATCGGGTTGGAGTGCAGCATTTAGATGCAAAAGACCGGATATGGCAGCGCCATCGAGTCCATGAACTCACCATGCTGCGTAAAGTCCATTGCCACTGATGTGGTCCACGAAGACCGCAAGTACCGAATAGCATACAATTAATTCAAATATTTCACTACGTCATTAACTGACCGCCCGGTTCCACCCAATGAAGTGCAGCGACGTTACACAATGCAAACCGAGGGGGGCGGTCATCGGGTTATACAGGGGAATAATCTAGTCAACATAAGTAGTTCTAGCTTAACAGACAATGCAATGCTGCACCATCCAACTGGGATTTCAAACACCGACTGGCGCATTTCAGAACCGCTTATCCGGCGCACCCGCTAGACGTGAAAAGTATATTCCGGTGATCAAAGACAACGACCTAATATCTTCGCTGTGAGTTAGCCAAGTTTATATTTCATACTGTAACATCATAACCATCTCGGTGTCGTATAGCATACTTTTAGTGATATAAAATAGTGCACAGATAACTTGCACTTTGGGAGATCATGCAGATTGCGACGATAAGCGAAGTAGGATACTCAGTGATGTGACCATACGATGTGATACAACTACCAAGTGATGGACTGAATAATCAAATCCAGTGGTTGCTCGGTGATTATCTAGAAACGTTGGTGTGTTAGTCCAGCCCTACAACTTGAAGGTGCGAAGCTCACAGCGCATTTCACCAATATATATGCATAAGTGCTTGCACAGAGAACGAGACCGACTCAATGAGTGCATTATCGTCCGCGCAACTCCTGTTTCTCAATAAACAGAGCCTCCGCTCCACAAGACGGTGAGAGAATAGATCCATATACGAACATTTTGGGAGCGTAGTAGAACAAAAGTGCCGGACTCGAAAGAATCGGATGTTAGAACTGGTTGAATAGCTTAAAGAGATAAAAAAGAAAAAAGTCAACTTATCCCTATACATGACAACAGTCCTAGACATAAGCTAATACAGTGAGGACTTGTTCTTATGCCACCTTGGCACAATGCCAGATGTGACGTGGAAGTGCAGATGAAACTTTTCGAGGGACTTTCCCGCATGGAATCAGATTCAAAGGAGACGGTCCCACTAATGGCTGTAGTACTTCACTTGAAATTTTTACAATAGGCACTTTCATTTTACTCTCAAATCTCAGTCGTTCTAACATATTTACTTGATGGAATACTGCGAAAACGCATCTAAGAAATGCAATGGAAAACATGAGCAAATACCTATCCTTTGCGATCCTGTTATAAATAAATAAATTTGTATATTTGCCGACGGACGGTACACGGCCCCATAAGTGGGAGCGATCATTTGTATAGTGAACACGTTTCATAACATCAAAGAAAAGTTTATTGATAGCATTTCGGATCATGATTACTTTTCCTTGAGTCCTAGACCCGCGCAACTCATATGTTAAATTTACGGACGTTTGTATCGTCAGGAGTAGATAATAAAGGAAGGGACTATTAGGCTGCAAAGACACAGGATTTGGTATGGTATGTAATGACATGTAGTGGGTAAGCTAGCTGTAAGCTATTATCAAATGTTTTTTATACCAACTTCTGTCAATGTTTCTAGTGTTTGCTGTGAGTCAAATATCTTCAGAGCATTTGATATAGTGAGGAAGGTCTGAAGGAGATTTCGAAAAGTGACATGGCTTGTACACATGCGTATCTGTAGGGGTAATTTGTTCCACAGATAAGTGTATCTCACTAAGAAGAAATTCGACCGAGTTTTATGACTTGAAAGGTTTGTATGTATCAAGTAGCCGCCATTACGTGTGGGGTAGACTGCAATCTTCCGTAGTTCAAGTGCGGTGCTGTCTGCGTAAATTCGTTGGTTTATAATGTTGTAGAAGAGAACGAGGTTGTTCTTTAAGCGTCTCAGCCAAAGTGGATCCAGCTGGAGTTTTCGACAGCGATCATAATAAGTCAGGTTTAAGCAGCGTCCCATAAGCAGTTTGGTAAATGATCGTTGGACATTTTCCAGAGCCGTTCTGTCTTTCTTTCTCAATTGGCTGTGAACGATAGTACAATATTCCAGAGTCGGTCGTACAATTGTCTTGAATGATTCAAGTCGCCCTTCTGGTAGGGAGAAAGTTCTGGTGATATATCCGCATAGCTGCCTTGCTTTCGCAACCTGATAAAGAACATGTTCGGAAAAATTGAAAGAGTTGGAGTACCTAATTCCTAAGTCCCGAACTGAATCAGACGTTGGGATCACGTTTCCGGAGAGTATAATGGAGCCTTCTGGGATACGGCATCTGTACCCAAGTACTTGGGATTTCACTGCGGAGAACTTCATTAATAAACGCTCACTAGCTATAGTTAGTGCGGATAGGTCTTCACAGATGTTCCCCAAACACATATGTAGTTGGTCTGGATGAAATGAGTAAACCAGTTTGACATCATCTGCAAACATAAATGGATGCCCATGTTTGATCGGGTCACATATATTGTTTACATAGATTAAGAAAAGTAGCGGTCCGAGCACACTTCCCTGGAAGGCATCGCTGGTTATTGGCTTCGGTGTAGAATGTTGCTGACCGATTTTAACGACCTGAGTTCGACCGTTTAGGTATGAGTCGAACCAGTTAAGCAGCGGATTTCCAATTCCATATGACTCTAGAGCAGACAGCAGTGGCTGGTGTGGCACGCGGTCGAACGCCTTTTGCATGTCCAACAGAATTATAATAATTGCCATTCCTCTGTCAATCATAGTCGTGATGTGATCGAGAAATTGTAGCTGGCATGTAACGCAGGAGCGTTTTGAGAGAAAGCCGTGCTGTGAAGGGTGGATCAGATCCAGTCTTGTAAGATATTGGACGATGTTCTTCTTGACTATTCGCTCTAGGGCTTTGGAAGCAGCAGAAGTGTGATTTATTGGGCGGTAGCTTGACATTTGATTTCTCGGTCCACCCTTGTGCTTAGACATTATAATGGATTGAAAGCGGTAAAGCGGTTATCGCCCCTGTTCGCTATAAAATCTCACACCAATTGCACACTGATTCACCTGGTCTGACGAAGCCTCTATGTTAGAGGCGAAACGTTACCAAACTACTATAACAAACCGATTGTTTCCAAACCTCTCTGAACTTATAATGGATTGCTTCCATTGAGCTGGAAAGCAGCCGGTAGTGAGTGAAAGTGTGAAAATGTTTAGTAACAATAGTGCGAGGTTTTTTCCTCCGAGTTTTATAACAGTTGGGGAGATGCCATCTGGACCTGGATGAGTTGATGGTTTTATGGCTGCGATGGCACTTTGCACATCTCTTAACGTCACAGGGATATTGCAGTATAGTTCGGTCGTTCTTTTTGGAAGTGGAGGATGAAGTGGCTGAATGTCGGGGACAAAAGAGGAGGTGCCAAATAATCGAACCACCTAATTGAACGGTATCTTGCACAATCGAGAACTATCACATAACCATCACTTGTCAATGAGAAATCAACAGATAGATTCCCACAGATCCTGACGCGTCCCCGATAGTTGCCGCAGAGAGAAGACACCAGCAGTACGCCGGTAAATATATATCCAACACAGCCAATGGTACAATTGGCATGGTGCCAAAACGTGTGGAAAATACAATAAACATACGAAATGAGAGAAAAAAGAATGTAAACAGTCTTCATGAGAATAGAGTGTCACAAAAGCTCCGCCATTGCGCACGATTTCCTACCATATCCGATAGGGTTTCCAGCCATGAGTGTCTATGATTCTTGTGCCCCCAGGCAAGGAGTCGAGAGCGTCCGATCAAGTCCAACTTTGCGGTTAGCTCCTTCATATTTCTGGCCAAAGTCATACGTTGCCCACCTTGTTTTCGCTTCCAGCCGACTTCTGTGCGCGCGAAGAGCGCACAGTGAGGTAAACGATGTGTAGGTGTGCGAAGCATATGCCCAAGGCACTGCAGTCTGAACAGTGAAGTTATGCTGCTCAGTGGGTGGCAGAGTCTGTCTGATCTGAAAATCCTTTGTCGAACATCCCCATTGCTAGTGTGATGTCATCGTCGTACACAAGCAATGCTCCGAAGGCAGCGGTGATTAAAGACAGACAGCCTTTCAACGTCCTTTGCGCGAACAGGCCGTGTCGCAGCCATAGAGCAAGACCGCCGTCACCGTGGCATTGTAGACTCGGCCCTTAAGAAATGGACTCAGATCGCCTCGACGCCAGAGATGGTGAAGGTAAGCAAAAGCAACCCGAGCCTTGGAGACGCGCAAAGAGACCTCACCCATTCAACCGTTGGCGCTGACGCAGCTTCCGATGTAAACTAACTTGTCTACCACTTCCAATGAATGACCTGAAAGAGGAAGGACAGGATCAGGGCCTAGCGAGTCCTGTCGGGAGGTCTTGCACTTCGATGGTGCGAAAGTCATTCCATATTGGGAGACAGAGACCACCAACCTATACACGGGACATCTTGGGTGGCCTGTGAAAA